TTGTTTTGCTCTGTCTGAATTACGTCACTCTATAAAATAGACTCCAGGGTTATCCACCTCATTAGCACTGATTCAAATGCATTTCTCTTTAGGTCTGAATAGTATCCCATGGTATATATTTACCACAGTTTCTTTTATCCACTCATCTCTCCATGAACTGCTTGGTTTCTTTCTTGCCCTAGCTGTTGCCAATAGTGCTGTAATGAATACTGGGGTACATATTTTTTCAATTTTGGTTTTCTCATGCATCTTCTATATGCCAAGTAATGATATTTTGGAGTACGTTATAGCTTTCCTTGGTGGATCATGTGGTAAAGCAGCTGTCTGCAAACCAGGAGACCCCAGATTCTACCCCTGGGTTAGGAAGAGCTCCTGGAGAAGAGAATGGCCAACCTTTCCAGTATTCTTGCTTGGAATATTATATGGACAGACTGACAGACTGCAATCCAAGAAGTCACAAAGAGTCAGACACAACTGAGTGACTAATGCTTTCATTGTCTGGTAGTTTTCTTCCTAGGGTTTTTGTTTTCTTCTTTTTTTTTTCTTTTATAAGAATCTCTGTACTGTTCCCCATAGTGCCTGTGTCAATTTACATTCTCACTGACAGTGAAAGAGTGTTCATTTCCCTCCACACATCCTCTCCAGCACTTCACTTGTCGCTTGTGGACTTTTTATAATGGCGCTTCTGACTGGAGTGAGATGATATCTCACTGTAGTTTTGGTTTGCATTTCTTTAATGATGAGCGATGTTGGACATCTTTCCATGTGTTTGTTAGCCATCTGTATGTCTTTTTTGAGAAGAATCCATTTAGGCCTTTTGCCTACTGTTTTTTAAAAAATTGGGTCTTTTTTTTTTTCTGGTATTGAGTTGTATAAGTTGCTTGCGTCTTTTGGATCTTAACCCTTAGTTGCTTCATTTGCAGTTATTTTCTCCCATTCTGAGGGTTGTCTTTTCACCTTCTTACAGTTTCCTTCAGTGTGCAACAGCTTTTAAGTTTAAATAGGTCCCGTTTGTTTATTTTTAAATTTCCATTATTCTAGCAAGTGGTTCACAGAAGATATTGCTATGATTTTTGTAAATGAGTTTTCCACCTGTGTTATCCTCTAGGAGCTTTATAGTTTCAGGGCTTACATTTAAATCTTTACTCCCTTTTGATTTTATCTTTGTTTATGATGTCAGGAGGAGTTCCGCTTTCATTCTTTTAAATGTACTGCTCCCGTTTTCCCAGCACCATTGATTGAAGAGGCTTTCTTGTCTCCATTGTATGAAAGAATGGTGTCTCCTTTGTCAAGGATAAGGTACCCATATGTGCATGGGTTTATCTCTGGGCTTTTTATCTTGTTCCCTTGGCCTACAATTCTCTCTTGTGCCAAAACCATACTGTCTTGATAACAGTGACTTTGTAGTACAGTCTGCAGTCAGGAAGATCAACATCTGCACCTCCATTTTTGTTCCTCAAGATTGCTTTAGCTATTCATGGCTTTTTGTATTTCCAAACAAAATGTGACTTCTTTTGCTCTTCTGTGAAAAATACCATTGGTAGTTTGATAGGAATGCATTGGTCCATAGAATGCCTTGGATAATAGAGTTATTTCCCCAATATTGATTCTTCCTATCCGAGAACTTGGTGTATCTCTTCATATATTAATGTTTGATTACTTTGATCAGTATCATAGTGTTTTTTGCATACAGGTCTTTGGTCTTTTTAAGTAGGTTTTTGTGTAGATATTTTATTCATTTTGTTCCATCGGTCTGTGGAATTGCTTCCTTCATTTCTGTTTCTGATTTGTCTTTGTTAATTTATAGAAATGAGAGAAATTTCTCAATATTACTTTTATATCTTGCAAGTTTCTGTATTCCATAACTAGCTCCAGTGAATTTCTAATGGAAACAGGATTTTCTAAGTATGGTAGTATGCCATGTGTAAACATTGAGACTTCCATCTTCTTTTTCAGTCGAGATGGTTTAGGTTATTTTTCTTCTCTGATTGCTGTGGTTAGGACTTCTAAAGCTATGTTGAGTAATAGTGGTAAAGTGTTGTGTTTGTGAGCCATGAATTTGTGACCTCTGGAGGAGAGGATTTCAGCTCAGGGTTATAAATGAGGCTTGACTATTTGGAGTTACTGTGTAACAAAATTGTATTAAAGTACAAAAGAGATACAGAATGATTCTGACATAGACATCAGAAGGAGGCAGAAAGAATGCCTGCTTGCTAGCTTTGAGCAAGGCATTTTATGTCTGTTCAGTTCAGTTCAGTTCAGTTTCTCTGTCGTGTCTGACTCTTTGCAACCCCATGAACTGCAGCACGCCAGGCCTCCCTGTCCATCACCAACTGCCGGAGTCGACTCAAACTCATGTCCTTCGAGTAGGTGATGCCATCCGGCCATCTCATCCTCTGCCGTCCCCTTCTCCTCCTGCCCCCAGTCCCTCCCAGCATCAAGGTCTTTTCCAGTGAGTCAACTCTTCGCATGAGGTGGCCAAACTATTGGAGTTTCAGCTTCAGCATCAGCCGTTCCAATGAACACCCAGGACTGATCTCCCCTTAGGATGGACTGTTTGGATCTCCTTACAGTCCAGGGGGCTCTTGAGTCGTCAACACCACAGTTCAAAAGCATGAATACTTCGGCGCTCAGCTTTCTACACAGTCCAACTCTCACATCCATACATGACCAGTGGAAAAGCAATAGCCTTGACTAGACGGACCTTTGAGGCAAAGTAATGTCTCTTCTTTTTAATATGCTCTGTAGGTTGGTCATAACTTCCCTTCCAAGGAGTAAGCATCCTTTAATTTCATGGCTACAATCACCATCTGCAGTGAGTTTGAAGCCCAGAAAGATGAAGTCTGAAATTGTTTTCACTCTTTCCCCATCTATTTACCATGAAGTGATGGGACCAGATGCCATGATTGTAGTTTTCTGAATGTTGAGCTTTAAGCCAACTTTTTCACTCTCCTCTTTCACTTTCATCAAGAGACTTGTTAGTTCCTCTTCACTTTCTGCCATAAGGGTGGTGTCATCTGCATATCTGAGGTTATTGATATTTCTCAAAGCAGTAGGAGCTTCTAATCAGATAAGAGAGACCCCTCAAGGAGGGAGTTTCACCAGGCCCTTTTCCCACAATATGCAACCTTGAGATAGAATGACGAAGTGTGTCGTCCCCAGCCATAAAACAGTTGACATGATGACTGCTTTGTTAAGCCATTATCAACCCAAGATTTGAGAAAAGAAAAGAAAAAAAAAATTGTTAGTCTTCAGTTCAGGTCAGTTCAGTCACTCAGTCATGTCTGACTCTTTGCGACCCCATGAACTGCAGCACGCCAGGCCTCCCTGTCAATCACCAACTCCTGGAGTCTACTTAAACTCATGTCCGTTGAGTCAGTGATGCCATCCAAGCAGCTCATCCTCTATCATTCCCTTCTCCTCCTGCCCTCAATCTTTTCCACCATCGGGGTCCTTTCAAATGAATCAGCTCTTCGCACCAGGTGACCAAAGTGTTGGAGTTCAGGTTCAGCATCAGTCCTTCCCATGAACACCCAGGACTGATCTCCTTTAGGTAGGATGGACTGGTTGGATCTCCTTGCAGTCTAAGGGACTCTCAAGAGTCTTCCCCAACACCACAGTTCAAAAGCATCAATTCTTCTCCTCTCAGCTTCCTTTATAGTCCAATGCTCACATCCATTCATGACTACTAGAAGAACCATCGCCTTGACGAAATGGATCTTTGTTGACAAAGTCATGTCTCTGCTTTTGAATTTGCTGTTTAGGTTGGTGATAACTTTCCTTCCAAGGGGTTCAGTTCAATTCAGTTCAGTTCAGTTCAGTTCAGTTCAGTCGCTCAGTTGTGTCCGACTCTTTGCGACCCCATGAACTGCAGCACGCCAGGCCTCCCAGTCCATCACAAACTCTCACAGTTAAGTGTCTTTTAATTTCATGGCTGCAGACACCATCTGCCGTGATTTTGGAGCACCGAAAAATAAAGTCAGCCATTGTTTCCCCACCTATCTGCCATGAACATGATGGGACGTTTTCTGAATGTTGACTGTAAGCCAGCTTTTTCACTCTTCTCTTTCACGTTCATCAAGAGGCTCTTTAGTTCTTCTTCACTTTGTGCCATAAGTGTGGTGTCATCTGCATATCTGAGGCTATTGGTATTTCTCCAAGCAATCTTGAGTCCAGCTTGTGTTTCTTCCAGCCCAGTGTTTCTCATGATGTACTCTGCATATAAGTTAAACAAGCAGGCTGACAGTATACAGCCTTGATGTAATCCTTTTCCTTGTAGTTGAGTGAATGAGAGAGAGAGAGAGCATGGGGGCCCCGCCTGCCCCCCACACCGCCCCAGGCTCACCTACGTCCCCTTGGGGCTCCCTAGGCTTTTTGACTCCCTTGACATCAGCTGCCCCTGGGTGGACCATCATCCTGTTGCTGTTGCCGACGGTGGTGTCCTCGAGGAAGCAGGAGCGAGTGTGGACTTTCTTGGATGTGACCCCTTCGGACTGAGGTCCTGGTTCAGGGATTTGACAGTCGGTGGTAACCAGGGAAACCCACCTATGACATTCACATTGCCCAGGGACTGCTGCATGTGAAGGTTGGTGGTAACCAGGACACAACTCGTGTGACAGTCAGTGGTAAAAAGGAACACCCCTCCTGTGACAGTGGTAACCAGGGAAACACACCTGTGACAGTGGTAACCAAGGACACCCCTCCTGTGACAGTCAGTGGTAACCAGGGACACAGCCCCTGTGCCAGTGGAAACCAAGGACACCCCTCCTGTGACAATGGTACCCAGGGACAGCCCTCCTGTGACAGTCAGTGGTAACCATGTACACTCACCTGTGACAGTCGGTGGTAACCAGGGACAACCCTCCTGTGACAGTCTGTGGTAAACAGGAACACCCCTCCTGTGACAGTGGGAACCCGGGTCACACACTTGTGACAGTCAGTGGTACCCAGGGACACCCCTCCTGTGACAGTGGTAAACAGGGACACCCCTCCTGCGACAGTCACTGGTAACCACTGATACCCCTCCTGTGACAGTGGTAACCAGGGACACACCACCTGTGCCAGTGGTAACCAAGGACATCCCTCCTGTGACAGTCAGTGGTAACCAGGGACACGCATCTCTGACAGTCAGTGGTAACCAGGGAAACCCACGTGCGACCATGGTAACCAAGGACACCCCTACTGTGACAGTCACTAGTAACCACGGACACCTCTCCTGTGACCGTGGTTACCAGGGACACGCACATATGACAGTCGGTGGTAAACAGGGAAACCCACAGGCGACCATGGTAACCAAGGACACCCCTCTTGTGACAGTCAGTGGTAAGCAGGGACACACATTCTGTGCCAGTGGTAACCAAGGACACCCCTCCTGTGACAATGGTACCCAGGGACTGCCCTCCTGTGACAGTCAGTGGTAGCCATGTACACTCACCTGTGAAGGTCGGTGGTAACCAGGGAAACAAACCTATGACATTCACAGTGCCCAGGGACACCGGCCTGTTACAGTCTGTGGTAACCAGGGACACCCCTCCTGTGAGAGTGGTATCCAGGGACACAGCTCCTGTGCCAGTGGTAACCAAGGACACCCCTCCTGTGACAATGGTACCCAGGGACAGCCCTCCTGTGACAGTCAGTGGTAGCCATGTACACTCACCTGTGACAGTCTGTGGTAACCAGGGAAACCCACCTATGACATTCACATTGCCCAGGGACTGCTGCATGTGACAGTTGGTGGTAACCAGGACACACCCCGTGTGACAGTCAGTGGTAAAAAGGAACACACCTCCTGTGACAGTGGGAAACTGGGTCACACACATGTGACAGTCAGTGGTAACCAGGGAAACACACGTGTGACAGTGGTAACCAGGGACACCCCTCCTGTGACAGTCACTTGTAACCACGGACACCACTCTTCTGAAAGTGGTAACCAGGGACACACCACCTGTGCCAGTGGTAACCAAGGACACCCCTCCTGTGACAATGATACCCAGGGACAGCCCTCCTGTGACAGTCAGTGGTAACTGTGTACACTCACCTGTGACAGTCGGTGGTAACCAGGGAAAACCAACTATGACATTCACAGTGCCCAGGGACACCGGCCTGTGACAGTCGGTGGTAACCAGGGACACACCTCCTGTGACAGTCGGTGGTAAACAGGAACAACCCTCCTGTGACAGTGGGAATCCTGGTCACACAAATATGACAGTCAGTGGTAACCAGGGAAACACACTTGTGACAGTGGTAACCAGGTACACCCCTCCTGTGACAGTCACTGGTAACCACGGACACACCTCCTGTGACAGTGGTAACCAGGGACACACAACCTGTGCCAGTGGTAACCAAGGACACCCCTCCTGTGACAATGGTACCCAGGGACAGCCCTCCTGTGACAGTCAGTGGTAGCCATGTACACTCACCTCTGACAGTCGGTGGTAACCAGGGAAACCCACCTATGACATTCACATTGCCCAGGGACTGCTGCATGTGACAGTTGGTGGTAACCAGGACACACCTCGTGTGACAGTCGGTAGTAAAAAGGAACACCCCTCCTGTGACAGTGGGAACCTGGGTCACACACATGTGACAGTCGGTGGTAAACAGGGAAACAAACCTATGACATTCACAGAGCCCAGGGACACCGGCCTGTGACAGTCGGTGGTAATCAGGGACACACCTCCTGTGACAGTCGGTGGTAAAGAGGAACACCACTCCTGTGACAGTGGGAACCTGGGTCAACACATGTGACAGTCAGTGGTAACCAGGGAAACAAACCTGTGAGAGTGGTAACCAGGGACACCCCTCCTGTGACAGTCACTGGTAACCACGGACACCACTCCTGTGAGAGTGGTAACCAGGGACACACCACCTGTGCCAGTGGTAACCAAGGACACCCCTCCTGTGACAATGGTACCCAGGGACAGCCCTCCTGTGACAGTCAGTGGTAGACATGTACACTCACCTGTGACAGTCGGAGGTAACCAGGGACACCCAACTGTGACATTCACAGTGCCAAGGTACTGATGCATGTGACAGTTGGTGGTAACCAGGACACACCTCGTGTGACAGTCGGTGGTAAAAAGGAACACCCCTCCTGTGACAGTGGGAACCTGGGTCACCCACATGTGACAGTCAGTGGTAACCAGGGAAACACACCTGTGACAGTGGTAACCAGGGACACCCCTCCTGTGACAGTCACTGGTAACCACGGACACCACTCCTGTGAGAGTGGTAACCGGGGACACACCACCTGTGCCAGTGGTAACCAAGGACACCGCTCCTGTGACAATGGTACCCAGGTACAGCCCTCCTGTGACAGTCAGTGGTAGCCATGTACACTCACCTGTGACAGTCGTTGGTAACCAGGGAAACCCACCAATGACATTCACAGTGCCCATGGACACCTACCTGTGACAGTCGGTGGAAACCAGGGACACGCATCTCTGACAGTCAGTGGTAACCATGGAAACCCACCTGCGACCATGGTAACCAAGGACACCCCTCCTGTGACAGTCAGTGGTACCCAGGGACACCGCTCCTGTGAAAGTGGTAATCAGGGACACACCACCTGTGCCAGTGGTAACCAAGGACACCCCTCCTGTGACAGTCAGTGGTAACCAGGGACACACCTCAAAGTGCCGAGGGACACCTGCCTGTGACAGTCGGTGGTAACCAGGTTCACACCTCCTGTGACAGTCGGTGGTAAACAGGAACACCCCTCCTCTGACAGTGAACCTGGGTCACACACATGTGACAGTCAGTGGTAACCAGGGAAACACACCTGTGACAGTGGTAACCAGGGACACCCCTCCTGTGACAGTCACTGGTAACCACGGACACCACTCCTGTGAGAGTGGTAACCGGGGACAAACCACCTGTGCGAGTGGTAACCAAGGACACCCCTCCTGTGACAATGGTACCCAGGGATAGCCCTCCTGTGACAGTGAGTGGTAACCATATACACTCACCTGTGACAGTCGGTGGTAACCAGGGAAACCCACCTATGACATTGACAGTGCCCAGGGACACCTGCCTGTGACAGTCGTTGGTAACAAGGGACACCCCTAATGTGACAGTGGTAACCAGGGACACACCTCCTGTGCCAGTGGTAACCAAGGACACCCCTCCTGTGACAATGGTACCCAGGGACAGCCCTCCAGTGACAGTCAGTGGTAGCCATGTACACTAACCTGTGACAGTCTGTGGTAACCAGGGAAAACCACCTATGACATACACATTGCCCAGGGACTGCTGCATGTGACAGTTTGTGGTAACCAGGACACACCTCGTGTGACAGTCGGTGGTAAAAAGGAACACACCTCCTTTGACAGTGGGAAACTGGGACACACACATGTGATAGTCAGTGGTCACCAGGGAAACACACGTGTTACAGTGGTAACCAGGGACACCCCTCCTGTGACAGTCACTGGTAACCACGGACACCACTCCTGTGAGAGTGGTAACCGGGGACACACCACCTGTGCTAGTGGTAGCCAAGGACACCCCTCCTGTGACAATGGTACCCAGGGACAGCCCTCCTGTGACAGTCAGTGGTAACCATGTACACTCACCTGTGACAGTCGGTGGTAACCAGGGAAACCCAACTATGACATTCACAGTGCCCAGGGACACCGGCCTGTGACAGTCGGTGGTAACCAGGGACACACCTCCTGTGACAGTCGGTGGTAAACAGGAACAAAACCCTTGTGACAGTGGGAACCTGGGTCACACACATGTGACAGTCGGTGGTAAACAGGGAAACAAACCTATGACATTCACAGTGCCCAAAGACACCGGCCTGTGACAGTCGGTGGTAACCAGGGACACACCTCCTGTGACAGTCAGTGGTAAAGAGGAACACCCCTCCTGTGACAGTGGGAACCTGGGTCACACACATGTGACAGTCAGTGGTAACCAGGGAAACACACCTGTGACAGTGGTAACCAGGGACACCCCTCCTGTGACCGTCACTGGTAACCACGGACACCACTCCTGTGAGAGTGGTAACCGGGGACACACCACCTGTGCCAGTGGTAACCAAGGACACCCCTCCTGTGACAATGGTACCCAGGGACAGCCCTCCTGTGACAGTCAGTGGTAGCCATGTACACTCACCTGTGACAGTCGGTGGTAACCAGGGAAACCCACCTATGACATTCACATTGCCCAGGGACACCAGCCTGTGACAGTCGGTGGTAACCAGGGACACACCTCCTGTGACAGTCGGTGGTAAACAGGAACAACCCTCCTGTGACAGTGGGAATCCTGGTCACACAAATGTGACAGTCAGTAGTAACCAGGGAAACACACTTGTGACAGTTGTAACCAGGGACACCCCTCCTGTGACAGTCAGTGTTAACCATGTACACTCACCTGTGACAGTCGGTGGTAACCACGGAAACCCACCTATGACATTCACAGTGCCCAGGGACACCGGCCTGTGACAGTCAGTGGTAACCAGGGACACCCCTCCTGTGAGAATGGTATCCAGGGACACAGCTCCTGTGCCAGTGGTAACCAAGGACACCCCTCCTGTGACAATGGTACCCAGGGACAGCCCTCCTGTGACAGGCAGTGGTAGCCATGTACACTCACCTGAGACAGTCGGTGGTAACCAGGGAAAGACACCTATGACATTCACAGTGCCCAGGGACACCTGCCCGTGACAGTCGGTGGTAACCAGGGACACACCTCCTGTTCCAGTGGTAACCAAGGCACACCTCCTGTGACAATGGTACCCAGGGATAGCCCTCCTGTGACAGTCAGTGATAACCATATACACTCACCTGTGACAGTCGGTGGTAACCAGGGAAACCCACCAATGACATTCACAGTGCCCAGGGAAACCTGCCTGTGACAGTCGTTGGTAACAAGGGACACCCCTAATGTGACAGTGGTAACCAGGGACACACCTCCTGTGACAGTCACTGTTAACCACTGATACCCCTCCTGTGACAGTGGTGACCAGGGACACACCACCTGTGCGAGTGGTAACCAAAGACACCTCTCCTGTGACAGTCAGTGGTAACCATGGACACACCTCCTGTGCCAGTGCCAACCAAGGACACCCCTCCTGTGACAATGGTACCCAGGGAAAGCCCTTCTGTGACAGTCAGTGGTAACCATGAACACTCACATGTGACAGTCTGTGGTAACCAGGGACAAATCTCCTGTGACAGTCGGTGGTAAACAGGAACACCCCTCCTGTGACAGAGGGAACCCGGGTCACACACATGTGATAGTCAGTGGTAACCAGGGAAACACACCTGCCTCCATGGTAACCAAGGACACCCCTCCTGTGACAGTCAGTGGTACCCAGGGACACCCCTCCTGTGACAGTGGTAAACAGGGACACGCCTCCTGTGACAGTCACTGTTAACCACTGATACCCCTCCTGTGACAGTGGTGACCAGGGACACACCACCTGTGCCAGTGGTAACCAAGGACATCCCTCCTGTGACAGTCAGTGGTAACCAGGGACACGCATCTCTGACAGTCAGTGGTAACCAGGGAATCCCACGTGCGACCATGGTAACCAAGGACACCCCTACTGTGACAGTCACTGGTAACCACGGACACCTCTCCTGTGACCGTGGTTACCAGGGACACGCACATATGACAGTCGGTGGTAACCAGGGAAACCCACATGCGACCATGCTAACCAAGGACACCCCTCTTGTGACAGTCAGTGGTAAGCAGGGACACACATTCTGTGCCAATGGTAACCAAGGACACCCCTCCTGTGACAATGGTATCCAGGGACAGCCCTCCTGTGACAGTCAGTGGTAGCCATGTACACTCACCCGTGACAGTCCGTGGTAACCAGGGAAACCCACCTATGACATTAACAGTGCCCAGGGACACCTGCCTGTGACAGTCGGTGGTAACCAGGGACACGCATCTCTGACAGTCAGTGGTAACCTTGGAAACCCACCTGCGACCATGGTAGCCAAGGACACCCCTCCTGTGACAGTCAGTGGTACCAGGGACACCACTCCTGTGACAGTGGTAAACAGGGACAGCCCTCCTGTGACAGTCACTGGTAAACACGGACATCCTTCCTGTGAAAGTGGTAACCAGGGACACACCACCTGTGCCAGTGGTAACGAAAGACACCTCTCCTGTGACAGTCAGTGGTAACCATGGACACACCTCCTGTGCCAGTGCTAACCAAGGACACCCCTCCTGTGACAATGGTACCCAGGGACAGCCCTTCTGTGACAGTCAGTGGTAACCATGAACACTCACCTGTGACAGTCTGTGGTAATCAGGGAAACCCACCTATGACATTCACAGTTCCCAGGGACACCGGCCTGTGACAGTCTGTGGTAACCAGGGACAAATCTCCTGTGACAGTCGGTGGTAAACACGAACACCCCTCCTGTGACAGTGGGAACCCGTATCACACACATGTGATAGTCAGTGGTAACCAGGGAAACACACCTGTGACCATGGTAACCAAGGACACCCCTACTGTGACAGTCATTGGTAACCACGGACACCTTTCCTGTGACCATGGTTAACAGGGACAAGCACAAATGACAGTCGGTGGCAACCAGGGACACACATCTCTGACAGTAAGTGGTAACCAGGGAAACCCACCTACGACCATGGTAACCAAGGACACCACTCCTGTGACAGTCAGTGTTAACCAGGGACACACCTCCTGTGATAGTCGGTGGTAAACAGGAACACCCCTCAGGTGACAGTGGGAACCTGAGTCACACATGTGTGACAGTCACTGGTAACCACGGACACACCTCCTGTGACAGTCAGTGGTAGCCAGGTACACTCACCTGTGACAGTCGGTGGTAACCAGGGACACCCACCTGTGACATTCACAGTGCCCAGGTACTGCTGCATGTGACAGTTGGTGTTAACCAGGACACACTTCGTGTTACAGTCGGTGGTAAAAAGGAACACCCCTCCTGTGACAGTGGGAACCTGGGTCACACACATGTGACAGTCAGCGGTAACCAGGGAAACACACCTGTGACAGTATTAACCAGGGAAACCCCTCCTGTGACAGTCACTGGTAACCACGGACACCACTCCTGTGAGAGTGGTAACCGGCGACACACCACCTGTGCCAGTGGTAACCAAGGACACCCCTCCTGTGACAATGGTACCCAGGGACAGCCCTCCTGTGACAGTCAGTTGTAGCCATGTACACTCACCTGTGACAGTCGTTGGTAACCAAGGAAACCCACCTATGACATTCACAGTGCCCAGGGACACCTACCTGTGACAGTTGGTGGAAACCAGGACTCTGACAGTCAGTGGTAACCATGGAAAGACACCTGCGACCATGGTAACCAAGGACACCCCTCCTGCGACAGTCAGTGGTACCCATGTACACTCACCTGTGACAGTCGGTGGTATCCAGGGAAAGACACCT